CATGAACATGCTCTGAGTCACTCTCCTCCCTTACTGAAATTGAAGAAGCACAATTACATTATCTCACTTGGTTTATGCTTGAATTGCAAAGTGTAACATGAATGAATAAAAAGCCTTTGATGTTAAAAAGAACACCCTACATAATTTATTTTGTCTGAATCGCTAGAGGTTAAAATTTATCTGGTCACATGCATTCACAATATTTGATCTCAGAAGCAGATTTTGTGTGTAATAAGGTGAGAGACAACGGGGTCAGGAGTTTGTCTAGGGAGGGCAGAAATGTAGATGCTGCTGCCTATTAAAACTCTGGACCCATATCCACGAGGCTCTGTACCAGTCACTGCTAAAACTACATGGGAGATATGCTGGGGAAAAGCACAGACACAAGGACAGCGTTGCTGCAGTCTGCGAGTGTATCCTGTTATCTGTTCTTCCTGGAAAGATGTTCAACACTGGATTAAAATAGCAATAAGGGGAGCTGTGCCTAGGAAACCATAGAGTCTTCTGTTAGCTTCCTACACAATGCTGAGCAGAGGAGACTTCCCCTGAAGTTTTGCATGCTGCTGCTACTTATGTAATTTCTCTCTGCGTCAGCGAGGCTTATATGGCTTTCCTAAGCATCACTGCCTGTTCTTCAGCATCAGGGAGGGTGCTGAGGATGTAGCAGGGTGGAAAGGCTCCTTCAGGAAAGAGTGGAGAGCCTGAGAAATGGGAGCTGCTTTCAGCGGTACTGATCTGCAGGCTCAGCCTGTGCTCAGGGCTCTGGGGCAGCACAGCACTGGGTCCTTCTGCCCCACAGAGAGCAGGACAGGCTGGGCAGTGATACCCTGCAGGAGCGTGGGCAGTGCTCCACTCGAGGGAAAATACGCTGGGAAGCTGAAGTGAAATCTATTTTACTCATATTGGAGATACTTACACTGCAGTGTTGACTGTACAGCCATGTTGTGCTGGTGGGTCTGCCTTGCAAGTCAGAGGATATTTTGTGTAAGGGGGACTTGGGGCCCCTTGTGCAGATCTGGAGAGCAGCTCTTTAAAAAACGTCCTCAAGACTATTTCCCCCTTGCTTTTAAGGAAACAAAATGCAGACAATGAAACTTGATTTTGTTTCCAGGTTCCCTGACTGCCCAAGAGATAAGACCTATGGAGCCGTCAGTGGCAGGCAAAGGCAAATATAGACATGGAGAGATCTGACTGAAGAAACTCATCCAGAAATGACAGCAAGGGAAATAAAGAGAGATTGGCTGAAGCTCTACCACAGACAGCAATATGAAGAGAAAGCAGGAAGGTGGTACCAGAAGAAAGACAAAAGGCAGGTAGGTAAATGTTTTAGGCAGAAGCATAGGAAGAAACAAGGAAGGCTGTGCTAGCAAGAATAAGAGATATTCCCACTTTCTTGGTCTAAAAGGTCTATCCATATGTCAGTAAAGAGATTACAATGGGTAGAGAAGTGACTTAGATGAGAGAGAGCGAGAGAGAAGCTATGCCAAAGCCTCATCCAGACGGAGCAGGAGATGGACACAGCACAGGATAGGTAACAGATGCAAGGTCAGGGAACAGGGTCTTGACATGTTGACAGGAGAACAATACATCTGGGAACTGACTGTGTAGAAAGAAGGTGTTGAATGTGACTCAGAGGATATAATGATTTAGTAAATGCTTACATTTAATTAAGTGAACAAGTACAAAATGTCAGAGACCTGTACCAGCTCCATTCATTCCTTATTGTCCCAACTGTCCTTACTGTGACCTGTGGTCTGTGGTCAGACCATGAGTTTGGTGTTAATTATTGACCTTAGTGTTTAAGGCTGACCTTCCTAATGTGTGTTTACATAGTTTTTATAGTACATAACAGACTTTTCCCTTTCTGTTTATTCCATCTAATTTCACTGTCACAGTCTCCCTTTCCCAGCTCTCTCAAAACCTGGGAGGGTAATTGAAAAACTAGTTACTAATTGTGGAAATCCTTGCCTTAGAGAGTTAGCAGCGCTCCTAAAGTAAACGTTATTACATTGAAAGCTATGTAAAATCTCAGGAGGCCCAGAGACGTTTTCTCTGAAATTCTCTGCTCCAGTTTCAGACAAAAAGTCCACTAATGCCTCAAAGGCAGGAGGGAGGGAAGGGAGCCAGCGTTCTCCAGCCATTTGATGTGACATCTCTGTTGGGGACAAGCATTGCATCTCTGGTTGTCAAAACCTTGTCTCCTCCATCAGGGTCAAAACAGACCTACTTGCAGTTACACTGATGCGTGCAGAGCTTTTGCACACCTTCCCTCTGACTTACAGCACACAAAAATATATATGAATATAGCAACTGGGTTCCTTTGAAATCCTGCTGGCTTTAGTATTTTTATCTCACCTCTTAGCTGCACAGTCCCAGTAAACTGACAACGTTTTGACACATCTCCCTTGGGAGATTAGTACCTACACAGCCAAAAGCAGGTAACAGATCTGGTAACACGCATGCAAATTGTTCACCACTTTCCTCCAGAAGGCCCCAGACTCAGCTGGTTTTTCTGACAGACGCTGGCAAGCTGCTGGCTTCACACCAGCCTCCTTCCCCAGCACTGTCCCAGTGGCATAAGGCACAGCAAGAACCAGTCTTGCCTGCCACAACCTGACAGCAAACAGCAAAGACACCAAACAGCGTGAGAAGCCTCCTCATTCGTGCCAGGGAGGTTTGCTTTGCTGCTCGTGAGAGTTATCTCCCCGATTTTCCCATGCTAAGCGCTGCATTCCTGCCCTCTAGATTAAAGTGTGTTTGTTTCATTTCCTGGAACTGAGCAGAATTGTTTAAAAACAAAGCTTCTATATTCCCATCACAAAACCTGCCCTAGGATGGGGTTTTACTTTGCCATTGCCCAAATCCCTCTGAGGAAAGTCGCAATTCTGATGTGGGAAATAAAAGAAACAAGCTGTGAAGGTCCTCTCTGCATGCCACAAAATATAATAATAATTAAAAAAAAAAAAGAGAAATAAACCACAAGAGCAAAAGCGTGACAGTCTTCTCCTCCACAACCACCCAGATAACCTCAACTCTGTGTTTTTAGAGACCAAAAATGATAAAATCACTTACTCCTCTCCTGCAAGTGCTATGCCAGTGGCTGTTACACCGACTAGATGCGAACCCCGTGCATACAACCAGTGTCCGACAGGACGAGTGACACGATACTTTAGTCTTACGTCTTTTGAGTACACAAAATCATATTTTACCAGAAAGTTTTGGGTAGCCTGAACGATTAATTGCTTCGTAATTACAAGAAGTAATCGTTGTTTATGAACGGGAGTCAGGCTGCTCAGCAACTGCATTAATCTCCTGCCAGGCAGCGCACAAACCCGATGCCCCTAAAGACGGCAAAAGGCCACGACAGCGATGTTTGACAGCGACAGCTCGGAGGTTCCCAGCACGGACAGGGAGCTGGGGTCCCGCAGCACAGCCGCACACCGCGTGGGTTCAGGTCTGGTGTGGGGGCTCAGGGGTGGGTTTGGGAGCTCAGGGAGAGGCGGCCGGCTGGGCGGAGGGCACCCGTCGGGGCTGCTGCGCCGCCGGCGGGGCGGGAGCGGGACGAGCGGCGAAGTTGTGTGAGGGCTCAGCGGCGGCCGGACAGCCCGCCCGGCTCGCCCCGGCACGGCTCCTTACCGATGTGCTCGATGAGGTTCCTCCACGAGTCGGCCGTCATGGGGTGTGCGGGCGGCGGCTCGGCGGTGCCGGCGGGGGTCTCCTCAGCGGCGGCGGGGGCGTTCCTGCGGGAGGCGGACGGGAGCCCTCAGAGCCGCGGCGGAAAGGCGGCGGGACAGCGGCCCCTCCGCCCGCCCGCGCCCTTCGCTCCCCCGCCCTCAGCCCCCCCTCACCTGCCGGGCTGTCCCGCCGAGCCGTCCTGGTCGAGGGCGCAGGCGGCGCTCAGGGCCGCGGCCAGCAGCTCCATGGCCGGCGGCGGCAGGCGGCTGCCCAGCAGCTCCGGCGGCGGCGGCGGCGTTGCGGGGCTGGGGGAGCCCGGGCGGTTGCCACGGTAACGGGGGTAGGAAGGCAGCAGCCTGCGCGGGAGGGAGAGGGGAATTGCGGCCGCCCCCGGGGCACCCCCGCAGACCCCCGAGACCCTCTGAGCCCCGAAACCCTCTCAGAGCCTCTGCTTAGACACCCCCCACCCGAGACGCTCTGCCCCCAAGCCCCCTCAGAGCCTCACCGCTCCCCTCAGAGCTTCTCCTCAGGCGCCCCCCCCAGGCGTCCCCATAGCCCTCCCCCAAAATCTCTAGAGAGCCCCCTCAAATCCCCTCAGAGCCTCCCCTCAGACCCCCCGTCAGGCATCCACAGGAGCTCCCCACCAAAATCCCCTCAGAGCCTTCCGAAACCTCTTCAGCGACCCCCTCTGGCTCTCCCGCCAAAACCCCCACGCAGCTCCCTCAGAGCCTCCCCTCAGACCCCCCTCAGAGCCTCCCCACAGATTTTCCTCACAGAGACCCCCTCAAACTCCCCTCAGAGTCTCCTCTCGGGCTCCCGCAAACCCCTCAGAGCCCCCCTAGCCTCTTGCAGCCCCTCTCCTCGTTCCCAGATTTCTTCCGAGGCTTCATGGAGCTCTGCCAAATCCCAGCGGAGCTCCCTCAGCCTTCCCCAAATCCCTCCCGAGACCCCTCAGAGTCCGGCAGAGTTCCTAGCCCCGCTCCCTCGGAGCCCCTCAAACTCAGCCCTCTGAGCGCCCACCTGACCCCAGAGTTCCCCCATAGCCTCTCAGAGCCCCCTCTGCACACCCTTTCAGCGCCTCCAAAATCTTTTCCGAGCCCCCATAGACCCCTCAGGTGTCGTTGCTCCCCTCTCAGAGCCCCCAGCCCCTGCCCGGCACCCCAGCCCGCAGAGACCTCCTCAGCCCCCCGGCTCCCCTCCAGCGCTCCGGCACAGGTCCCTCCTCCGCCGGGAGGATGACTCCCTCCTCCCCAGGGGCCCCCCCAAAAGGCAGCAATCCCTGCCCCAGGGCCCCCCACCTTCACAGGCACCCCTACCTCCATCCCCCCTGCGCTCCTGCACAGAGGCTGCTTCCTCAGATGCAGGGAAGCCCTTTTTCCATCCCCTCCCTTCCCCCCAGCAAGGCACCCTCCCCCAGCGAGCACCCACACACCCCATCCCACCCCATGCACCGGCCCCAGCCCTCTTCCTCCATGCACGGCCACCCCACAGCGGGCAGGGGTCCTGCCCTGGCACTGACCTGTCCTCCCTCAGCCCCGGGGCGCAGCGCTGCCCCCCATCCCCTGCACCTCTCTGCCTATGTGCGCCCGGCGCCGGCTTTGAGGGAGAAAAAGGGGTGGGAGAGGGGGGCTCTCCTGAACTGCTTCCAGATCTGGTGCATATGGTGCATTTCTTCTCCAGGGGCGAAACCCTGAGATGGAGGAATGTAACTGGGAAACTCAGCCTAATCCCTCCTGCCGGGAAGTGCACCCCTGATTACCCCACAGGATTGGCCGCTATCTGCCTCTCCTCCTCCGGCGGGGCTTCGCACCCGATCGCTCATTTCTCCCGTCTCCCTTTCCTTAGCGTCGCTACTTCCATAAGGATATATTGCCTCGTTTAGGCAGTAAGTATCTCAATGATCTATATCTCTCTTCGTTCAGGTAATTGTTTTTCCGCCTCAGGGATAAATCCTCTTGAGCTCCAGAGTACGGTTACACCCTCGGATCAGTTGGGAGTGCTTGTGGACAGGTTGGGTGCAGCTCTTCCCTACACGTTAATAACTCTCGGCAAAAAAAACGTCATCTGCACCACATTGCAACTGAGGAGTTAACAGAGGGAAAGTGCTCAGCTATTCCTTGTGCTCGCTTTCTCCCTGTTGCATAAATAACCGTGATTTTTCTGTACATGGTAAGGTAATTTATGTAACAGCATAAAATCTGTGTATTGGTCTGTATGTGTAAAATGGTTTCCTTTTAAACATTTTTATATTGGTTTTGCTAAATCATATGCCAGGATAGCTTCTAATCAGTACATGATGGTATGTCCAGAAAAAGTCCTTCAGCTTATGTGAACTAGATCTTGATCTGGCACACTGGAAAGCTCAGTCATTAAGTCATTAAGAAGCAGAACGGGAAAGAAAAACAGCTGGAAATGTCATTGAAGGCTCAGAGAAGGCTGTGAGTCCAGTTCATGTCCAGTCCCGGAGCAGGAGGTTGGAAGGACCAGACAACCGAAAGGAAATACCAGGGTGAGGGTGAGAGCTGGAGCCTGCCTTGTGCTTAGAGAGGAGGAGGAGAGCCTGAGAGCTGGGGCTGAGATTGTCACTGGGTAGGTGGTCAATATGGGATGACAGTGGGTTATCACCATTAAATGCTGGGGATTAGGGGGTTTAGGGAGAGAGGTGAGTGAGGGGGCGGCTAAAACCTTGTGGAAGGGATAAAGCGGCAGAGACTGTGCCTAACGACTGATGTTTTGGTGGTTTGCCGCTAGGGCAAGAATATTGTCAAGGGTTTTAGTGAGTGGGTGGGATGCTAAAAAGCTTCTTTCTTAGAAAAGAAGTGATCTTTAGTTATCCTGAAATCTGGAAAACCAGATATGCTGTTTACTCTTTTCTAAAGGGAAGGGCCAGGAGCAGTGGGGAGTTCTCTCTCATATGCAAAGGGAAATCAGTGCATAAGCTCTTACTGACACTGCTAGGATGAATATATATCTAAATATAACTTTTGAGGGTATTTACTAAGGAAAAAAACTCTTTCAGAAGTATGCTTTAAGAGTTTAACAGATTCTAACCCCTCCCATTGCTTCACTCCGAAGGTTAAATCTGTTGCAAATTGAAATTTCTTTTTAGAAAAAGTGCCTGGGTCATGCTATGAAAAACTTGCAGAAATAGAAAGCATCTTTTCATGATCCTATAACTGTCTGGTAATTTGATCCTGCCTGTCTTCCATTTCCTTCATTTCTTCTAACATGATTTCACTTTTGGTCCAAGATGAAAATCTGAAAATGTCACTGGAAGTACTAACGATAATAAAAACATCGGAAGCTCTGAAGAGGTGAGAACACCAGCTGCGAGTGAAATGCCCCCTGTGGCCATGGGAGGCCGCAGCTTGTATGTTCCTGTCTCAGAGAGCTCTTCCACTGAGTAGCAATGACCACTACTCTACTTTTCCTTCCTTTAGAACTTTTTCCTTTCTTAATTGCAATTTGGTCTTTCAAAGATGTTGTTCTTCCTTCCTTTCCAGCTTTATTCTTGTACTTTACGTTGACATACAGAGGATGTCCAGAAACAGAACGAGTGCGTGAGAAATACTTTTTCTCTCAAGTGAAGTGACAGAGTGTTCCCAGTACTCTTGGGACTGGAATAAAAAGTGATATTTAGCAAGATGGAGATATTTTTGTTCTACAAAATGTCCTGGGATTTTCTAAATCGTGCTTTTCTGTTTGGAGACAAAACAAAGCTTTTAAAGTTTGTCATGCAAACTAAAGGCAGGCAAACAAGTGATTCTGTCACAGTGATCTGGTGACTGGGATATTCATGCTGGTCACGGAGGATCCAGGTCAGAGTCACGGCTGTGTCATTCCCTCACATCTCACATGCCTGTTCCAGGGTAAGTCAGTCTCTCTTCCTGCAGCTGCTCTGCTTTCTCTGGTCACTGGGAAAGGTGCTTCAACCTGGCAAATGCTTATTCACCAAATACCACTTTAAGTCAGTCAATACTGAACTATTTATGTGGAGCAGCTCCAACATAACTGCCCCTTTCTTCCTCCCTAGTTCCACAGTTGCTAGGACTTTGCATGCAGTTTAAGCTGATCTAGCTGCTCAATTCCACTTCTCACTTGACCCCCTGAGGCAGATTTCTACGTCTGCTGTTATGCCAGCACTCACTCAAGTTTGTCTCATTCTCAGTGAACAGGTTTGGGCAGCTGAACTCATGGAAAATGATTCATTTTTTTGGTAGAACCAGCTTTGTGTGTATGGTGTCACTACAGGGTGAGCTCAGAGCGAGTGCCAGCAGAGCAGAGGTGGCAGACATGCAGATGGATGGCAGGACCGTGGCACTGCCACCTTGGATCCTTTTACACTGCTGTGGAACAGCAGGCTCAGGCCTGGAGAAGTTCCTACTCCACCTAATCTTAACCATTGGGTAGGAGTTTGGAGGAGGTTTTCTTTTTTCTCTCACTGTAAGAACAAAGAATCTGATGCAGAGCCCAAAAAGCTTTCCCCCAGTTATCAAAATCAGTACAATCTCCTGATGACAAACCAGTTTTCTCACCAAAATCCCTTCAATTCATCCTAAAATTCCCTGTCCAGTTGTAGGGGGAAAGAAAGAATCTGATTACTAGAATAACAAAGCAGCTGGTTGAAAATCCTATCCCAGCACTGCACAAGCAGTGCTGCTTGCCCTGTGCTCTTGGTGGTGACAGAAGTCCCACAGTGCCCCAACAGACCAAATCCCAGTTCTGTCTCTGGAATCCTTAGGGTCCCGAAGCACACAGGCACTGGCAAAGCTCCCTGGTGGCCATGCTCTGTTGCCACAGGGCAGGACCATGGCTCAGCTCCCTGTGGGCAAAGGGAAGTGGGTTTGAGTTGCACCTGTTCTGCAGAGAAGGGCTTCGTGTGCTTGCAGACTGTTCCCAGCTTCACTGTGCTGCTGTTGGAAAAGATTCTAAACGTTGGCTGACCTGGTCCATGGTTGTGTTAAAATGTGATAATTGGTGTGAGTTTATAATTAGTTTATTACCATTATCTCATTTAAGTTATGCTTAGGGGATGAATTTCCAATCTTGGTTTGTATTTTCCAGCACTAGTAATTTTGAAAAATGAGTAATCATTTGAATTAAGATTTATTATGTGCATTTCAACTCAAAAGCAATCCTTAGAATAAAGCTTGTTTTCAAATTAAATTGAAATGCATTTTTAAAATGTTCTCTTACAGCAATTTTTAGAAATTAGACCTTCTCTTCTAGAAACTAAAAAGAGAAGAGGCAGTCCAGCAAATCGTATTCATGAAAAATTCCCCAAACCCTTCTAGTCAGTGGGAGTTTCACACCAAGAAAGGCCACAAGATGAGGTAAGAAGCACTGTTTTAATCTGAACTAACCAAATTTATGGAGAAGTGTGAAGTTAATAATAGATTTGAATAATGTTATACCTAGTCAAGGATATTTTCATACCTCAGGTTCATTCAGATTCCCTCTGTTCATGTGTGGTTTTCAGCAGTGATTTTGGCAATGGGTGTGTCTGTGCAGTTTTTGTTCCTGATTATGACTTTTTAATGGTAGATAAGCAGAACTCCTCATCCCTAGTATTTTTAGATCCTAAAGGATAAGAGCATATCTGTTCTCCTGAACCTCCTTAAGCTCTCATCAAAATACTTCAGTTATATCTGTTGGGGCTTGCCAATAACTAAAAATGTTCAGAAATTTCATTTATAAGATCCTTACCTTTAGGTGCTTCTAACCTTTTGGTGCTCATAATCATCAAGGTTATGTTTTTACTTACTGACCATTTGCCATAGACAAGTTAGTTTTTTTATATATTAAAAGCAGTTAACAATTTATTAGACTTAGGAAAATATTATTGGATCCCTACTAAAGGAAAACAGAAAACCTGTTGTTCTGTCCTTCCAAAAGCTTTGGTTTCTGTTGATATGCAAGTTGAGATTTTGGGGCTTTCCAGGATTGTGTTTTTTGCCAGACTTAAGAAAATCCATAGCATTTAGACCCTTTTCCACTCTCTGCAATACACACAAGCTTCAGACTTAGATTGTAGCACCTAAAATCCCTGGGCTGCTGCCCATGGAGAGAACACATCCTCTGCTGTGGGCTGAGACAATCATTTCTGATACTGGAGCTGTAAAAGCTGCCTGGTCCAGTTCTAGGCTCTGTGAATGAAGGCCTCTTTAGGTATAAATAAATATTTACAAATAAATATATAAACACACAAATAAAGACCTTTCTGCGGTATCCTCAGTGATCCTTGTGCTGGATCCAGTCAGCATGATGAGAAAACTACCTGACTGAAAAACAGAAGGGGCAAGACTCAAGCATGGGGAGGAAGAGGTCTACTTCTGGACCAGGAGACTGCTGTGAAGAGAGGAACTCACGCCCAGCTGGAGGCTTCAGGAAATGGTGAGTTGGAAAAGGCTGTAAAATTTGGCACTGGAGCTAGGAGGAGGGGTGGGATAATAAGATTGTATGAGCAGCCAAAGGGTGAAGAGCCTGGAGAACAACAAGACACTGAGATATGAGCTGCAGGAGGGAAGAGAGAGGACTAATGCGCCCGAGAAATAGCAGGCTGAGGAGATTGTGTGGGGAATTACAAGTTGAAGCTGATAGAAAAGGAGTGAAACAAAGAGATTGATTGAGGAGCTGAGGAGTCCAGCTGAAGCAGATCAGATTGGGAGACATGGAGGGCAAAGCCTGGACCTTGCACAGTAATGAAAACATGACTAGCTCAAGAACCTGGCAGGCAGGGACTGTGTGGAATAGGGGGGCAGACTGGGATTGGGATCTCCTTTGGCTGCATGCTGGAAGGATGCTTCATTAGAACTGTGTATGTTATTACTTGCTATTCTGTGTGATCCTGCGAAATATGAGATGTTGACAGTAATGACATTTTAATACCTACAGAGGCTATTTTTACTGGAAATTTACTAGTTTTTAAAATACTTCTCCCTGCAAATACAGTTGCCCTTAGACTGTTTAAGATGCAGATTGTACAGAAAGGGATAGAAAAAAAAAAATCTGTCTCTATTCATTCACCTCTAAAAGAGCAAAACGTTGCAGAGCGATGAAATGTAAAGATTTGCTCAACAGGTGTTTGCACCAGCTATTGCTGACTTCACCACTTGCATATTGAAGCACCATTGGCAGCACAGAGAAGAACTGACTACAAGAAATGTATTTCATAAGCAGAAGGAAACTGCACAAGTTTCTAAGGCCTTTTGCAATCCGGCTCCCGGTCTCTCCAAAGGTTTTCCCTACTTTTCTGGTTAAATCAGGCTATAAAAGCAGTGCCCTCTGCTGCCCAGGACCAAGAGTGCTGGGCTAAGGGATGGTAAGCCACACTCACACGAGCACCTTTCAGAGTGCTATGCCATCTCACATGTGTACTGTTCCTCTCTAATACGTGTTTGCATGAATTCAAACAAGTTGGGTTCCCTCTTGCTGCTGAAGGTGACTAGTTGTATTCACTGTTGTAGTACTTCCATTCTTTGAGCTCATATCAAACATAATCAAGTGATTTTTAGATGACCCTTGTTTCTCTGAATGGGACGTTTCATAAGCAGCATAAAGAAACAGTTTGCTCTGCACTGGGAGACCCGTGATCTCACCATGAGCTTTGCAAAGTGAAATTTCACACTGAATTTCTCTTCCAATGTATCTCGTGGCCCATAATAAAAACATATCATTTTTGGAATCTGGCTCGGTGGGAAATGGTAGGTAAATAATGCAGTCATGCTGCTAAAATATCTGTATTGTACTAGAAAGGAAGAAAAGTGAACATCCTATTAGCTGACAATATAAGGCAGACACTGATTAGTGAGTCTCCTTTCTAGGGTCTGCAATGACTAATTTTCTGGTCTCTGTGGGAGCTGCTTTCAGCTGGCAATTGTGGATGGACACTGTGGGTGGATGTTTCTCTGTGGTGGCTTTCTGTGATCTCAGTCTGGAGCTGGCAGGACTGCTCCCTGTGGGCAAGAGCAGCTTTTGCTGAGTTCAGTTCCTTCCAGGGCCTTGGCTCAGGTTGCTCTGGAAAGCAGGGGTTGTGCTGGGAGCTCAGCACTGAGATGCTCAAGGGCGGGTCTGGTGTCGGGAAGCAGCTCGGCATGGTGGGGGTTCAGATCTTTGTACAATGTGGAAGGCTGAGAGGGAGCCCTGGGGTGTTGTGGAGAACTCTAGAGTGCTTAGAGGGAGTTGGAGGTGGCACAGGAAAAAGATCATGGGGGGAAAAGCCACTTGAGCATAAAAATGCTCTTAGGAAGTATTTTATGGAGGGCGCGTGGCAGATTTTGGAACACCAGCAATAGTGTTTGAGGAATCCTGTTTTCAAACATCAGTGTTCTGAGATCACTGAATTACTCTACTACTCTCAGAGCTTTGAAAGACACATAGATGTGAATCAAAGTCTGTGACAATTCCTTTTTCTGAGCTGTTTACTACGTTCCCCAGCTGTGTTTACCTCCTGCCCTGAATTATGCAGCATGGCTATATGTGAAGTGACATCCCTACCTGTGAAGAACCCATTTGTGTCAGACCTGCTGGTTATCTTCATGCAAGGAGAAGGGATTGTGCCTGCCCAGCCCTAGCATTTAGATGGTTGCTGTGGGATGCTGCTGACTCTGAAGAGATGCAGCACTGCTGCCCCGCTTGCCCTCGGGGTGATTCACTCCTCAGAACTCCATGGAGCTTTCCAGAGCTGGCCAGAGGTGCCTGCACTGTCCCTTCTGCAGAACTGCCAGCTTCTGCTTTCAGAAGAATGCTTTATTCTTCTGATTTATTCTTCTGGGGAGAGATTAAATGCATGTCTTGAGACTAGTGATAAGATTTTTGATGTCTTATCTGCATAATGGCCTTTTTTCCAATAGGAGGGAGATAATAGGAATTACTGTAAGTAATGGTAACATTCTTAGGCTCCTGCAGGCTTCCCCAGTGCAGGTTTCTAGTGGTTCTGTTATAAATTACAGTTGATCTTTGGAGAAGGGCAGAGGACATGGGCTGAGTTTGAGCTGGAACTCTGGTCTCATTCTCTGTCAAACGTCTGTGCTCAGTTTCGAGAGACCATCGATGCCGCTCAGCAGCGCTGCCTGCTTTTAGCAGACACATGACTTAGAACCTGTACTGACCTGTCAAGCTCTGCACAGCATCATCTTCGATAAACCTGACTCCCAGCACAGGCTCATTGTTTCCAGCTCCAGGGAGAATCAGGATTTGCACATTTCAGAGCTGCCTAAGCGCCGGTGTCAGGATGTCAGACACTGACTGTGACGATTATGCCGCGAGGAGAGGAAGACAGATGGGTTTGACATCACAGCAGACTGTGGCTGTCTATTTTCATCTGCTCAGTTTACGGCCAAAGGGCAATCAGTTTTAGCCAAGGCAATTAATTTATTTAAATCCAACTTGACGTTTGGCTAAAATTGTTTTACTGGAGTCCTCTCCGTAAGGAAAGGTGCCAAGGGACTAGACACCAACACAGCTGGTGTGGCACAATGCATACACCCTTAGAGGACAGGGGCTTGGTGCTTCCAGCCTGATCTTCTGCAGTACCAGCAGGGACTATCTCACAGCTGTACACACCAGAGGTGAGTAGCTGGAGAGGGAGTCTGGGAGAATACCTCAGTCATATATGAAAATGTAAGGCTAGGTACATGCTCCTCTCTCTAGCTGGCTGCAGTGGCAATAGAGCAGGGCTGAGGGTAGATTTATGGGATGGATGTACCTTTACAGGTTGTGGGATCAGGGCCTTTTCCTGGACATTGGTTGTTGAGGGATTTAAACCAGAAAGGGCTCCCTCACTGAAAGCCTCAGTTGCTTCTCAGTTCTTCAAAGTAAACAGCAAACAGAAGGTCAGAATACTGTAGAAAACATCTTTGTAGCTATTTCTTCAGCTATAAAATCCTGTTTTCCATGTGGGGTTGTATAACAGGCTTCAGGAGAGCTCTCTATGAAGGCCAAGAATGGGATCACCCTGATGTTGGGATGTTCCACAAGAAAATGCCCACAGGCTCTCCTTATTCTCTTAACAAGCTGCTTAAGGCAGTCTGCCCACTTATACCGCTGGATGATCCTGCTTCACATTCCCCTTTTCCCACCTTCCCTACTGTCTTCTTGTTGCCTCTTTTTCCTTCACTGTCTTCTCCAAACCCATATTGACATGACCCTTTATACTGTCACACTAATACTAAGCAATATATATCATTAAGACTGAAAGCAGCACAAGTCAAGGTGAGAAGGCAGGGATCAGAGCTACAGTTTGTCCAGCTGTGCTTCCCCAGACAGCATTCCAGCTCTGACACCACTCTGACTGTAATTTTCAGTGGAAGCACAGTGAATTCCCTTCTTACCTTTGGATCCATAGTTCATCTAACGTTGTCTTATCAGAGTTTGCTGGAGATGGTGATCCCTTATGAGATAAAACATTCAGAGGCTCTTTGACAGGCTCATTGTTTTTGAGTGAACCTGTGACATAAGAGAAAGCCAAGAGGGTGTTAAAACAGTTATTTTTTTAATTTACTTTTACTGTAGGCAGTGGTTTGCTTACACCAAAGGCAACAGAAAGACCACAGACACAAAGGTGGTTACATTTTAGCTTTGATTTTCAAACAAGATCAAAGTGTCATCAGCTTGCACAGCGCAAGATGGTACAGCCTTTGTCACAGTTGCAAATGCAACTGAGAAAAGGTGAAGTTGGATATACGGTGTCAGTTCTTACGTGTGTGAGTAGCACTCTCACCACTGCAAACTGGTCCCAATGTGAGTGATTTTCAGTGCAATCCACTGAGCAGAAAAGGTTTATCTGTGTGTGCCTGTGCATGCCAGTATTTGGTTTCCCAAGTCAAGGCTTCATGACTGCTCTGCTTTCAGGCATACAGTAGATGTTTACTGGACAAATCAAGGTTAGATTTGGGTGAAACAGGAGCTTTACTTTTAATTGCTTCTCCAATTTCCCTCAGATGAACCTCTGATCCCTTCACAGGGAGCCAGAGTTGTATTAAGTCCATGGCTTACTACTGTAGTACTTGGCAGGAGAGGATGCATCTCACTTTTCAAATGAAACCTCCTGTTGTTTGAGGCTTGTTGATATATGGCCTTGTTGTTTTTTATTAGAAATATTTTGGTCTAAGGCATAATTCTGTTTGCATTTCAAACTGGTGACAGCACAGTCAGGTCAATGCTCTGACTGAGGCTGGTTTCTGATGCACCCTTTTAATCAATTTTCAGAGGGAAGGTGTGACATCCAGAATTTTAAAACTTGCTAAACTAGTGCCAAGGGCTTATGAAACAGTAGTTTGAGTTATTCACTTTGAATAGTTTAAACACTTTATCCTTCTGTCCGAGGAGATTGCTTAAAAAAAAACCCAACAACTGTTTTTCCAGTTAACGGAAAACATGTTTTACAGCTCCTA